AAGGCTGACGGTGGCATGAAGAGTTTCGTACAGACGGTTCCCCAGTTGTGTATAATTTTTTGTCGAATTTTTTATTCTACGCTTTGGCGAACCGAAGTCTAATTGTGCAAGGCAGCGGTGACACTGACCGCCTTTTTTTTATTGAGACGGGCGGGTCGCCTTCGCCATTAGACATTGCGAGTTATTTCTAATCGAACTTGTTAGGCTCGAACCAAGTCACATCCAGGAGGTCTCACCGCTGCCTGTCCGCGACTGCTTGTTTGTCACAACTAGCCTTCATATCTATCCGGAGGTCGTTTTCTTATCTGTAACCCCGGAATGCGCCAGGTGGCCTGTAGCTAGGCGCACTAGTTTGCAGTACAGGCTATGCATATTACACAGAGACTGTCAACACTGCTTTGTTGATGAATCAGCAAAAAACAATCACATTCCATGATGGCCTAACTTCTCCAACACCAGATTTTCCGTCGTATTGCACCGTTCCCATGCACCCTAGTTGCTTAGAGGGGCATTTGTGCAGGTTACGGCTAAATGGAGCTTGAGAACCTGCAGTGCCAGATGCAGCTCGCATCATTTTGTTCGTTAGAGCCACCTCGTGCTCGTCAAGAACGAAGCCACAAAAGTGGTACTTCCGATGTGCCACCGTATAAACATTAAAACATGTTCGTACACAGGAGCATGCCAGATAACGCATAACCCGCCCAAGACCAAATTTCACGGCTTATTTCTTCCGGGTTACGCGCTTCAGTTGAGAAGTTGGGTGCTTGACTCTGATCGCCTCCAAGTGGTACCTCCTGGTTTCACAGAGTGATACTAAATATCCAAAGGTGATGTGAAAGATCAGATGTCAGCAAACGTACAAACACCAGCTACTCACTACAATTCCAGACGCACAGACATTGTCACTTGGCTACAAGAATGGTGAGAACAAGCGCGAGTATGTCGTGAATCTTTGCGATATGCAATAAGTCAAGTCAGGTCATGCGTGTCACTAGGGCCTCAGTCAACTTTTGGAATTATGGCCATCCGTCTCTAGTCGTGTTGCTCTGTTCTTAAATGAATCATGCAGTTTCACATCGGAATTCCGCTGAGTTGTGAGGCGATCACGCTAGTTTTTATTTTCCAGATGCTGCGAAATTGAATGCGATCCATTTTTGCTACCACTGTGTAAGACAGCGTGTTTGTACCAGTTACAGTTCGGGATGGAGGGACTGTGAATTATAGTTGGTGTAGTCTGTGTACAGAACGACCTCCTTCTAAATAAATTTGATAAACGAGGAAGCTCACGAACCAAATGGAGGGACCTGATGATCTTACCAGGTAGTGGAGCAAAGAAAACAAGTGTTTTCGCTTTGATCAAAACACCTTAACGTCCACTTATACCAAGATTCAACTAAGAACATAAGGAACAACAGTTTCAATCCTATGATACGTAATCTCTGATAAGAAATGGAACACTGATTAACAAACGTTGAGACTGGTGCTCAGTGGCTGGAGTGTCAAAATCAAAACTGAGAGGTCATTGGATCGAGCCCTTGTCAGATCATTCGCGTTTCTTCCTTCTGAGATTAATAAATTGTTACCATTCTGTGGAAAGGAAACAGGGCAACACACACTATACTTGTCGGATAGCTGCTGTTTACTCTACCTTCAAAATAAGGCACTCCTAGCTCATGGCATACGAATGAAGATAAACACCCCATGAATAATTTTATGAAAAGAAAGACACCAGAAACGACCGGGTTACAAAATATAAGGAATACAGATATTCCAGCGATTGCAGTCTCAACTAAATTTTATAGCAAGGACTAACAAAAGGGATTTTATATCTAAGGGTGGAAAATATTTTTGAATCAAACAGTAGATGGGCATTCAAATGCGTATACAGGTGGAAATCGATTCGCTGTGTGTTTGAATGACAATTAATCGTCCTCGATTCCCGAGCTACAATTAGAAAGGAAGGTATATGTTTATTATTACATTATCATTATGACACTTATGGTAAAAAACACGTTTTACTTATGGATCGGAAAGCAAAGATGACTAAATCGATCTCGATTTGTGTCTCCTCGTTCCTCTTTCATTCGTTCATCCTGAATCGGGCACACCTGACCAGACAGATCATGAAAAAAAGTCCATCACACGAATAAGACGCACAGCAAATAGTTGATGAAGTGGAAATTCGAAACATCGGTCGTTTAAAATGCTGCAAAGTTGTAAAGTAGATTTATTACTGCCTGCCAAGTGCTGGGTTCACAGGGCAACCGTTTTTTATGCGCTGATCGATGATTACCAGAAACTAGATTTTTAAAGATAAGGTACCTGCTTAACAGGCCAGACATGAGACACCTCTGTTTGGGTTTGAACGATGCACTGCGTGCACCTTCGAATGAACAAACATGTAATGAAATTGGTTGGATTCGTTTTGATGTTTGTACTCTTACTGTCTATATATCGACTGCATGTGAAAAGTACCGGCAAATGCCAAGGTCTGACCAAATTCGAACCGAACGATGACTACATAGCCGACTACTTCGCCGATGACTGGCGCTTGGTGCAACACATTCGCCGATTCTATTTGGAGCCGCCGGTGGACCGTCGGGTGCCGTATCTGCTGAACGACCCTCACGCGGTCGATTACTCGCAGTTGAACCAAAGTGCGGTAGTCGCCTCGTTCTTCAACCACAAGCGCAACGGCTTCTTCGTCGAAGCAGGTGCTTATGACGGCGAGGAATTTTCCAACAGCCTGTACTTCGAAAAGGAGCTGAACTGGACCGGTCTTTTGATCGAACCGGACGACGAAAGCTACGAGCAGCTGAGTCGCAAACAACGCAAGGCATGGCGCCTTAAAGCGTGTCTGTGCGGCAGTCACAAACCGTGTAAAATGAAGATGTACCGAACCGGAGACTCGTGGTCGTTGAGCGAGTACACGTTATGGTTCCGTATGATCGGACTACGCCTGTCAGACCATATAAGCGTCACCGACGTCTGGTGCTTCCCGCTGCTGTCCGTGCTGTTGGCCATCAACCGCACGGACATCGACTATCTTGCACTGAGCATGGAGGGAGCTGAAATACCTGTGCTGAGGTCCATCATAACCGATAAACTGAATATCACCGTGGTGCAGGTCGAGGTCTTGTCTTTCTTGGACGTCTCGT